TATTCAAATTCTCTCCAGGTGTGGACATTTCTTACATGGCCACCTGGCTTGGAGGAGGAAGGAAGACCTCTGGAAGCCCTGTGTGGGTCCCCTCTGTCACCCCAGGAGTGTGGCTCTGGGGCTGAGGACTGTCCTGCAACAGAGACCCCACCAAGTGAAGTCCCATGTTCCCACGTGAGGCCTGGCCCCTTGAGTCCCTGCCTCCCACTGGACCTGGACAGATGGCTGCCCCAGGGGGCTCACAGGCCACAGAGTGCGGGCAGAGCTCAGGCCCAGGTCCCTGCAGAGCCAAGCTCCTGACCTTGTGCCTTCTCTTATCAAGAGAGGGGAAACTGCTCCCTAAATTGGCCAGGCTGGGTCTGCAGACCGGGTTTGCGGGGTGTGACAGCACGGCCCGTGCTCACAGAAAGGGCGTCCTTCCTGGCCACAGTCCTGGCCGGAGCAGGCGGCTCGGAGCCCCCGGGCCGCAGAGTGCGGGGAGTTCAGCGGGGAGGTGAGGGAGGCCAGCCCAGCCCAAGAGCCCGCCTCCCTCGCCCGCCCCCCTCGCCCGCCCCCCCAGGGTCAGAGGCAGGTTGGAGAGGACACCCCAGCCTGGGTACTTCCCTAGGGCTTGTTGCCTCTGCCCTGCCCGGTGGCGAGAGGCAGGACAGACGCGCTGCCCCTCAGCAGCCAGAGCCGGGTGGTGCAGTAAGTCAGAGGGCCTGCTCAGTCCCAGGGGCTGGCCTGGGAGCACAGGGGCAGCTGACTGAGTCTGGATGCCAACTGGACCATGGGTGAGGTGGCCAGAGGGCAGCCAGCCTGGGAAAGAGCTGCTGACATCTGGCATCTCACACACAGCCCGTCCCGTTTAACCTCACTCGGCGCCCGAGACCCTTCATTGTCCTTTGGCACCGATAAGGAAACTGAGGCCCGAGAGGAAGGGCTGGTCTGAGATCCCCTGGGGGCCGGCAGGGCCACCTGGGCCCGACCCTGGGCTCTAGGGTCACCTAATCCTGTCTCCTCCCTCTCGCTGGCCAGGGACCTCGGAGGTCTTCTCAACCTTCTGGGCACCTCTGTTCCTGTCTGGCAGTGGGGGTTGGGCGAGGTCATCTCTGCGGACCCAACAGGACTGGAGTACCGGCCAATGTCAGAGGCAGGATGGCTGGTGGGGTGACTATGGCACCAGGCTCTGGGGCCCCATTTGGCTTCTGCCCTGTGATTTCTGCCTCTCGGCCCCTTCCTGGCCCTGTGACCAGGCAGCCCAGGGGCACATCCAGATGGCTTCCCATTGGCCTGAGAGTGGACCGCATGCTGCGGCTGCCTGTGCCCGGCCCTCACCCTCCTCCCCGCCTCCCCGGGGAGTTGGTGGCCCCAGCCCTCCGCAGAGCCTCAGGAATTGGGCGCAGAGGCCTCCGCTCATCTATTTTTAAACACAAGCCCATGAAAGATTCACCGGCTGCTTCATTTCCAGGTGGCAGGGTGGCTTCTGCTCCTGTGGCACACTCACCGCGGGGCCGGGAGCTCTGCCCACGCGCCGCAGCCCAGCTGGGCTCACGCAGGCCCTCCCGCCGGCCGCTCTCCCTGCCACCTCCCTGCCTCCCTTGGCCTGCAGGCCTGGGTCCCCCAATCTCCCCAGAAGGGAGCCTCCTAAAGAGGCCCCAGAGGGAGTGGGGGCTCCGGGGGCTCTAGGGGCTCCTCCCCCTGCCTGACCTGCTATGCAGGCAGAGGCTCCCTGGCCCACGCCAGCCCTGATCTTGTGGGATCTGAGGGCCTCTCCCCTCCCTGGCCTCGCCTCATCCTGGGCCGGTGTGAATGAAGCAGTCTCTGTGCTCGGACACCCCCACGAGAGGCAGTCAGGAGTGGCTTTGGGGACTGGGGACAGGTACTCCATTCATCCCAGCTGATGAGGAAACTGAGGCTCAGGTGCAATCGGGTGACCTGGGGATGGAAGCAGATCAAGGGACCTCAAAGGCTGGGCACCCCGGCCCTACCCCTAAGCCACGTGGCAGGTGCTGAGGGGTCACACGCCGATTCCAGGAATGGAGGGCCTCGGCCCTTCCCTCCAGACCCCAACCAATCTAAGTAAAACAAAAACCACAGGGCCCTACACTGGCCCCCCCAGGAGGCAGCCATGCTGGACAAGCACAGGGCCTGGTCAGCCTCTGGCCAGTCTTCACGCCAGAGCCCGAGTGCCCCCTGTGCCCCGGTGGTGTCCCCTCCCCTTGGCTGTGGGCGCCCAAGGGCCTCAGGAGGTGGTGCTAGCCCAGCTTTGACCATGTCACCTGATGCCATGTGCTGTCTGGCCGGGTCCCAGCAAATGCCCAGGAGGGCTCTCAGCTGTTGTCGGGCAGGGGATGGGCTGACTCAGCCATGAACCCACCCAGCAGCTCCTCTGGGTGGTTGTGGGGACTCAGGGCACCCTGGCCACCCAGGCAACGCTGTCCCTCTTCCCAGATGGTCTCGGGAGGCAACAGTGGAGCCCACGCCAGCCCCGGCTTAGCTGAGAGTCACTGATCTCAGAGGAAATCTCCTTTCTCAGCATCACCAACCCAGAAGAGTCTCCGGGTTTCACCTTCCAGAAACAGGGAGTTTTTGTTAGCTTTCCAAACAGTAAAATATTGGATATTTGTCTCAGACCCGTGACACCCCCGCCCTCCCGGGGCCTCTGCCAGGCCCAACCCTCTGCCTCTCCTTTCTCCAGGGACGGTTTCTTTCAACATATCCCCAAGGGGAGGATGGAAGCGAGGGAGGAGGTGGAATTGGGTAACAGCCTTGCTCGGCCGTCAGTCTGAGGACGCAGCAGCTTTGTCCAAAAGCACTGCCCGGGACCAGGAGGACGGGGCAGCGTGCCCAGCGACGGGCAGGCTTCCCAGGGCAGTGGGTGTGGGTCACCGTGATGGGGTCAGTTTCCGCCCGTCACTTCCTGTCTGGGTGATTGCCAGCTCTGGGAGCCCCGGTTTCCCATCCGTGAAATGGGGGTGCATTTGCTCTGGAGAAGTGTTTGTTGAGCACCTACTATGTGTTGTTCTCAGTGCTGGTCATACAGCAGTGAACAGAACAGACAGAACCACTGGAGTGCGTTTCAGTGGAGGGAGGGGCAGCAAACCCACACACACACAAATGTGGGACTAGGTCCTAGAAGTGCTAAGAAGAGTGTGAGGGGGGCAAAGGAAGGGGTGTGAGTGATGGGTGGGCCCCTTGGGAAGGGTGGCGGCTGGGCGCGAAGGGACCTGTAGGAAGCCGTGGAAGGGGAATGCAGCCCTTTCTGCCTTGGGGTTGGTGAGGACTGGATTCCATTCACTAAGTACCCTCAGGGCCTCCCGCTCAAGATGCTGTCCTCCTCCTCCGAGAAGCCTGCCCTGCCTGGCTCCCGCAGAGCCACCGGCACCCACCAACATCTCTCCAGTCTCTCTCTCCTTGCCCAGGGGGCGGTAAGTCCTCCCGGGCTTTCTCAGGTATCCCGTGTCAGTAGTGGAAACTGATACAAAATGATGGCAGAGACTGGACCAGAGAGCGCTGGGCGAGGCTTTATTGCACGGTGCCGGCAGGTACAGTGCAAAGGCACACGCCCCCCCACATCTGTGAACAGCGAACACCTGTGACCCGGCGGCTGCAGCCCAGCAGGAAAGGCCACCCCCCAGGGCAGAGGTCGCCGCTCCTCTCAGGAACCAAGGGTTTCTGTGTGTCAGAGGGAACAGCCTGCCTGTGGGGGGGGCGGGTGGGGGGGCATCCAGCAGTGACTCATTTCAGTAACAGGCCACCTCTTTTGAAAAAAAGAGGCAGCCAATAATAGTCCTGATGCCCTCAGGGGCTCGGCACAGGTGGCCTGAGTACTTCTCTTTCTTTTTCTTTCTTTTCCCCATTTTTTGTTCAGATAGAGTGGGAGGGGGAGAGAGAGAGAGAAACATCGACGTGAAAGGGACACATCGAGTGGTCGCCACCCCCACGACCCAACCAGGGCCGCGGACAAACTGCAACCGAGGTACGTGCCCTTAGAGGAACCGAACCCGGTCTCTGTCTGGACCGCAGGCCGATGCTCTGACCGCTGAGCCACACTGGCCAGGGCCAGGTGGGCACTTCTTAAACCACAGCAAGCAGGGACCGCAGCCACCAGGTGGAGAGGAGCGGGAGAGGAAACTCGGTTTCACAGGCTCAAATCTGCTCTCCGATCTCGGGGTGATGGAGTGGGCCCTGGCAGCCTCGCCCCCGGGCCCCCAGGCCAGAGCTAACTGCACCCTTGTCATGCCAAGCTGGCCGATCGCCTGAGCTGATGTGAGCACAGTCGCCTGCTCTCTGCCACTGGCCCGGTACCAGCCATGCCGGCACCCTCAGTCCCGCCCAGAAACACGCCCCATTCACCCCCTAACCCGCGGCGTCCACCTAGACGCTCAGGGCGGGGTCGTCCAAAGGCCAGCTGGATCTCCCTGAAATGGCCCGAGGGGACCCGAAGGGTCAGGCTGCCCGTGCAGGGGGCCGTTGGTCACTCGAGAGCGGTTCAAGGGCCCATTTGCGCGGCGACCGCCTCCTTGGGCCGCCTTTGGAGCTGTGGTCTGGGCTCAGGGGCCACGGTGGAGGGGGGCAGGGGGACGGGGCGGCCGGGCGGGCGAGGAGGCCCAGACTGTGGGGGGCGGTACCAGAGTCCCAGCGACCAGGCTGCCGGGGCGCGGGGGCTGGGAGGGGGCGCGGTGCCAGGAGCTAGGTGACCCGGCGGCGGAAAGGGGAGTGCCGCGGGGCGGGCCCGGGGACACGGGCCGGGCCGGGCCGGGGGCGGCGCCGGAGCCCAGTGGCCGGTGTCGGGGGAGTCGCAGGGCGCGCCGCACCTACCGCTTCCCTGGCGCGCGCTCTCCACCCCGCGCCGCCCCGCCCCTCGGGCCTCGCAATAAGGGGCGCGGGCGGGGCGGGGACGGGGCGAGCCGCCGGCAGCCCAGGTCGGCTTCGCGCCCGCCGCGGAGCTGAGGCCGGGAGCCCGAGGCCAGCGCCGTCGGGGCTCCGCGGGCGCACCGCCGAGCGCACGCCGGGCGCACCGCGCGGCCATGGACCTGTGGCCGTGGCTGAGCGCGGCGCTGCTGCTGCTGCTGCTGCTCGTGCAGCTGAGCCGCTCCGCCCGCTTCTACGCCAAGGTCTCCCTGTACTGCGCGGCCTGCTTCGTGATGTCCATCGTGGCCGCGGCTGTCTGCCTGCTGCGCCACGGCGGCCGGACGGTGGAGAACATGAGGCAAGGGGCCGGGCGGGCGAGCTGGGGGGCGGGGGGCGCCCGGCCGCCGCCTGCTTCCGCTTCCCCAACTTTCTTCTCGCCTCTCCCTCCTTCCTGCCCCGCCCGCGCCGCGCCTGGGCTCTCCGGCGGGCGGCGAGTGGGGAGCGCGGCTGGGGAGGCGGACGGGGGAGGCCGGGGTCCCCGGGAGCCGGCGTCACAGTGTCCCCGCGCCCTGGCCCGGAGGCCCCGGCCGGGAGCAGGCACTGACGCCTGAAACAGGTCTCGGCCTCCGGCGCCGCCGCGTCCCTGCGCCCCGCCGAGGGCGTGCTCGGTGCGCGTCCCGGGCGGGCGGACAGTGGCGCAGCCGCTTCCCGGGGAGCAGGGGCCTGGGCCTCTCGGGGGAGGCTCGATCCTGCTTCCTCGCGGGGAAACCGAGGCCGGGACGGCGCAACACCGCCCCCGCCTGGCCTCGGAGCTCTGGGGCGCTGGATCGTCTCCTGCACCCCTTCTCCCTCCTGCCCGCCACCTGGTCCCAGGCTCCCTGGCAGCTTCCTCCTTTCCTTCCTCTGCTCGGGAAGGTGCTGAGGCTCCGCGATGGGGAGGGGGAGGGTTGGCCCTCAGGGTCCACTTTCAGTCCAGGTGAAGGAAGGGGTGGCGGCTGGACCGTTCCTCTGGAAGTCTCCCAGGCCCCAGCAGCTGGGTGTTGGGGCGTGGGGGGTAGGGCGTGGAGCAGGGCCCCAGGCTGGGCTGACTAGAAGAGTTGGGGGCCTCTCCATGTCAGAGGCTAGGGGGAGTGGCTGCCAGAGATGGGGCTCCTTCTTGCCCTTTGATCCGATTTCTCATGCAGGGCATAGCTGTTGCTAACATTTCTCTGTGAGTTTTAGTATTGCAACAGTCTGTTGGCTGTGACCTTGTGTGGGGACACTGGTCCGAGCCCCCCACCACCCAGTGGTTAGAGAGCAGTGTGTGAGGGTTCCTGGCTTTCTGCCATCTTTGTCCTTGCCTGGGGCAGGCTGGTGCTCCCAGGACTGGCCCTCACTGCCTGGGTCTCCCGGCCCTGTCTTCAGGGATTAGTGACTTCCCTCGCTACTGACTTGGCTCAGAGTGAGGGCCGGTGGGTGCTCAGGAAGACTGTGCTCGCCCCCACACGCTGCAGATGGCCCGAGCATTGTCCTAGGGAGCATCCCAGGCAGCCAGGCCCAGGTGAGCCCCAGGTGAGCCCCAGGTGCAGCCCTTCAGCAGCGGTCCTCCCAAGCAGAGTGTCCTCCGGTGTGGGCAGGGCAGGGCCTGTTTCCAGAGAAGAGTGTTTCTTCTGAGCTGCCCCGGGCTGCTGCAGACGACGTTGCAGGCCTGGCCTGAGGTTCAGGGCCCGGGAGCCTGTTCACCCTGGACCTGCCGGGGCTGGGCCTGGAGGAAGAGGAGGGTGGTTCTGGGTTCTGGGTATCGCCTGGAGCCAGGCCAGGGGCTGGTGCGTCTGGTTCTGAGGCAGCAGGGGCCCCCCGGGGTGCAGGCAGGGAGCTGGGCCCAGAGCTGGTTTTCAGAGCGACAGAGATCCTGGAGGTGACCCTTCCCCTCCCCCGCTCTGTGTCATCAGGTGGCCTCTTTATAAGCGGCTTCCCTGACTTTTAAAAGGCCCCTCTGGCTCTTTCTGGAGGAGGCTAGACTTGAAAGCTGCTTCCCCCTGGGTCAAGTCAGGAGTCCCTGACGGGGTGGTTGGACCTGGCAGGCTGGCCCTCCAGCCCCGCCCCGCCTGGCCTCAAGGGGCCTGGGTGCATTCTTCTCTCCTCTGGTCCCAGCCTCTCGTGTGCTCTCCTCGGGAGCCTGGGGGCCCCGCTGGTGCGCGGTGGGAACTTCCTGTCTCCTCCCTCCCCAGGGGAGCCCCCAGACTCAGGCTTTGCAAAGGGCCCACTCCAGGACATAGGAGCAGGTGCCGTTCTCGCCAGGGAGAAGGTGGGCCTGGGAGCAGAAAACCCACAGCCTGTGCCCCAGAGCCCACGGGGGTGGGTCACAGTGATGACTCCCAGCGATGACTAGGGCAGGGTGACTGAACGTGACTTTGCAGAGGGATGTAGCTGGGAGGCTGACAGATGCAGAGTGAGGAGGTGCCCTGGTGCCCTGTGCCGCTGGTGCAGGGCCCTGGCGCACGGGAGGTGGTGTGTTGACGTGTGGGAGGGGCTGAGAACAGGATCCCTACCCCTCCGAGTCTGCCCAGTTTGTCCTGGGACCCATGAGCACCCTGGGTGCCCGCCTGGCTCTCTCCAGCCCTACCCTGACTCCGGAAGGCCTCTCCCTCCCTGCCAGCCCCCACTCCATCCCCTGAGCCCCCACGGTGCGCCCCAGGTGCCTCAGCCTTGGGGGTGGATTACTGTATGTTCCTTTTCTCAGATGAAGAGTCTGAGGTTCAGAGAAGCAACTTGAAAATAAGGCCTCCTGCCCTGGCCCATTTGCACAGTGGTTAGAACGTCGGTCCGCGGACCAACGAGTCACGGGTTCGATTCTGGTCAAGGGCATGTACCTCGGTTGCAGGTCATCCTGGGCCCTGGTCAGGGTCATTCTGGAGGCAACCAGTCTATGTGTATCTCTCCCATCCATGTTTTTTTCTCTCTCTCTCTCTGTCCCTCCCTCCCACTCTATCTGAGGATAAATGAAAAAATATCCTTGGGTGAGGATTTTTTTTTCCTGTATTGATTTTAGAGAGAGAGGAAGGGAGAGAGAGATAGAAACTTCGATGAGAGAGAACATAGATTTGCCCCCTCCTACACGTCCCCCACTGGGGATGGGCCCACAACCTGGGCATGTGCCCTGACCGGGAATCGAACCGGCGACCTCTTGGTGCAGATTCGACGCTCAACCACTGAGTCACACCCGCCTGGCTTGGGTGAGGATTTATTTATTTATTTTTTTAATCCTCACCCGAGGACATTTTTCCATTTTTTGTTCAGATAGAGCGGGAGGGAGAGAGAGGAAGAGAGAGAGAGAGAAACATCGATGTGAAGGGACACATCGAGTGGCTGCCACCCGCACGACCAACCAGGGCCGGGGACAAACTGCAACCGAGGTACATGCCCTTAGCAGGAACCGAACCCGGGTCTCTCTGTACCGCAGGCCGACGCTCCAACCGCTGAGCCAAACCGGCCAGGGCTTGGGTGAGGATTTTAAAAAAAAGAAAGAAAAGGCCTTCAGGAGGTGGGAAGGGGTGTTGTCCGGGTCCCAGAGCTAGGACATGGTAGAACCAGGGGCGGTCCCAGCGAGGGCGACTCCACAGTGCTTGCTTCTCCCCTTTCCTCCACCCCCCCCCCCAGAGGCCAAGGGCCCACTGTGGGGCTGGAGACCAGGCTTCAGGGCCGCCCTGAGCTGGGGAGTGGGGGCCGCCTCCCTGCTTGGTCCCTCCACTATGTTCCGTCTTTCTCCTGAGCAATGGGCCCTTCTCCGCGGGGCTCTGGATGGGCACCCAAGGGGGCTGTGCGGTTAGACCTGAGTTCTGAGTGTGAGCGGAACAGTTGACTGTTCTGAGCAGACTGGGGATGAAGCCAAGGACTCCTCCCGGGCTGGTGGTGCCCTGTGTGCAGCCCTAGGGAGGAGGAGCAAGCCCTTCCCTTGTCCTGGGAGACAGACGTCCTTACTGCACCCATTTGACAGAGAGGAAAGTGAAGCTCAGAGAAGCCGCGTGTGAGGATTGGGCTCCGCTGCAGGCCAGGAGCCCTAATCGCAGCAGTTTAACCAGGGTTTACTTTTTTTTTTGTGGTACGTGCCCCTAGCAGGAACCGAACTGGGACTCTCTGGTCTGTAGGCCGATGCTGAACCGCTGACCCAAACTGGCTAGGGCCAGAGTTTACTTTTTAAAAAATATTTTATTATTGACTTTTTAGAGAGAGAGAGAGAGAGAGAGCAACATGGATGTGAAACATCGATTGGCTGCCTCCTGCACGCGGGGATCGAGCCTGCGACCGGGGCATGTGCCCTGACCGGGAATCGAACTAGGACCTTAGACCATGGGACAACGCTCCATCCACCGAGCCACACCGGCCGGGCCAGAGTTTACTTTTTCATGCATCAAAGTAGACCACAGCTGGGCAGCCCGAGTCCACAGAAAGCTTCCAGTTCCTCCGTCCCGTGGCCACCATTGTGGTAGGACCTCTGGGGACTGGACCATCCTGTGGCCAGGACCTGGGCAGCGTGGCTCTTAGCTGCAAGAGAGGCGGGGCGGTGAGGCCCTTGGCCTGCACAGGCCATGCCCACATAGGACATCGAGGGGAGAATGGGCCATCCAGGCCAGGGGACTTGTCCATGCTTCCGGGATTGACCCCAGAATGGCCAGCCTCTTAGCCAATGCTATGAGAAACTGAGTGGTCGGGGGGAGGGCTGCGTGGATGGGGACACAGTGTGGCTGGGCAGTGCCACAGCACCTGGGGGCTGGCCTGGGGCTCTGGCCTGGAAGGGAAACCCACCCTGTTCTGCAGAGACAGACTGTTTCCTGGGCCCAGAAACCAGGGCTCCCACCAGCCCTGGAGACTTGCCGGGAGGGTTTCCCCGATAGCTTGTCGCTCGTGGGCCAGTCTTTCCAAGCCCCTGCATTTGCCCTACTCTGCACACCCCCTCTTAGCACCTCTGGGCATCTGCACAGGCTGGAAACCCCCGCCCCCACCCCACGCCGGTTCTTGTCCCCTTCTCGTGCTCCAGCTCGTATGACACCTGCTGGAAAACACCCCAACTCTGCCAGGCAGCTTCGCTGGGGCCTCCCTCCCTGGGGCAGACCCATGGTTGGCTGCTGCCTTCCCGACAGGGCTGCCCCTAAGTGAGCCCCCACATCCCCGCTCTGGCTCTGGCTGGGGCTGGCGCCTTGGCCCAAACAGCCCGCCTGGGTCTCCTGGCGAGGGCGGAGATCAGCACGTGGCCTGGCCTGACCTTGAACTGCCTCCCGGCCGCCCTGAGCAGGGGCCAGCGGGGCAGCAGTGGGCTGCGAGGGGTAGCCAAGGTACTTGGGGTTCTTTCACGGGTATCCCAGCCTCGTTGTGTTCAGTCTCTCTGCACACTTCCCATTTCACAGGCAGAAGTGGAGGTTTGGCTCAGCGGCCGGAGCATCGGCCTGAGGACCAGAGTCCCGGGTTTGGTTCCTGCTAGGGGCACGTACCAAAAAAAAAAAAAAAGAAGTGGACGTTTAGGGAGTTCAAGTGCGTTGCCCAAGGTCACGGCTGGTGAGAAGGTAGTCACGGTCCAACTGCGGGTCTGTGTGACCTAGAGCTTGAGAGCGACCCAGGTGTCCTCGTGCTGTGCACGGAAGGCTCAACAGGGCAGTGTCCCGGAGCCCAGTCTGGGCTCCCATGGGCCCCAGAAGGGTCTGTGACGTTCGCAGCGCCGGTCTGAGGCTCAGTGGCGGGCTCCTGAAAGACCCGGGGAGCCAGGACATCCCCTTTGCTGTGGACCTGGCTCCTCCGCAGGCGTTGGGAAGGGCCTGCGCTGGGGCCGCCTGCCTTCAGGGGGAGCTCACTCCAGGCACCCACCAGGCAGCCGTCCCGCTGGGCGAGGCACCCAGCCCGTCCCCTGGGCACCGGGGCTGCCCTGGGGGTGCAGGGATGCAGTTGGGGGCTGGACAACGCGGGACAGCAACCCCAGAGCTGTGTGACCACGTCCGGGCACTTTGCCCGAGCTTTGGGCTGGCACTTGGGAAAAGGCCTGGCTGGGCAGGGGCAGCCTGCAGGTGACGGTCGCTTTGAGCATCCCGGCTTGCTGATGGGCTGAGTAGGGCGGTAGGGCCCAGGGGGGCGAGAGGGCTCAGAAGGAGGGTCAGTTCTGAACCCGGAGCCCAGCCCTCCCCCAGCAGGCCCTTTGCCTGGAATCCGTGTGTTTTCAAAGCCAGGTTCAGAGGTGGGTTCTGGCCCACGCTGGCTCCCTGCTGAGTGGCCTCGGGAGGGTCACGTGACAGCTGAGCCTCAGCCTCCTCGTCTGCAGCATGGGTACAGTGAGCGTCTGGACCTTGTGGGGTTATTGTCTGAGCAGGACGGACTCATGGAGGACTGGAGGTGTTCGGCCGATGCCAACTGTGGGGGCTGTTCCCACCACCCGGCTTTCTCTGCCTGGTGCCGTGGCAGGGGGGTACTCGGAAGTGGCCGCTGGCCGCAGGAGCCCCCGCGAGCTGGGTTTGCTTCCTTGCCTGAGGGAACACTGATAAATGACTATGTATAGCTCCTCCCCACGTTCCTGGAAAACCTGGAAGACGGGGGTCACTGGGAGAAGGGAAGCGGGGCGCCACCCGTGTGTATGTGGCCGGTGGAAAATGGCTGGTCCTGGGGACTGTCCCCTCCCAGGATGCCCCTTCCTTTCGGAGCTCACTGCAGTCCCCTGGCTGCCCCCCAGCTGCCCCCCGGCTGCGGTGCTCCTTAGTCTGAGAGTAGTTGTTTGTAGAAGTGTCGGGAGTATGCTGCTGGGGAGCGCGGGGGGCCCAGGTCCTCGCAGCCCCACCGTCTGTCCCTGCCGAGCCTCTGGCCCGGGTGCACCTCCTGGCCAGGCCACCCGGCCCTGCTGCCAGAGGTTGATACATAGTATCTTTCCTAGTTCAAAACCTAGATTAGGTACAACAGGCAAATAGCCCTGGAGAGGACGGGGCTGGCTGCAGAGCAAGGCCAGTGCGGCCGACGCCACTGACCTGGACACGAAACGGTGAAGCGAGTGGGACGTGAAGTGTGTTGCACCACAAGTTATTATTGTATTTTTAATATCCTCACTGGAGAATATTTTTCCGTTGATTTTCACATAGAGTGGGAGAGAGGGAGGGAGAGAGAGAACCCCGACCCTGGCCGGGGGCCGAACCGAAACCGAGGTACGTGCCCTTGGCCAAAATCGAACCCATGACTCTGGTCCACGGGCCAACGCTCTAACTGCTGAGCCAAACCGGCCAGGGCTGCCACAAGCGTGTGTGTGTGTATTTTTAATCTTTTATTTATTTTTCTTTATTGATTTTAGGAAGAGAGGAAGGGAGAGGGAGGGAGATAGAAACATCGATGAGAGAGAACATCGATGGGCCCACAACCTGGCACGTGCCCTGACCAGGCACCGAACCAGCGACCTCTTGGTGCAGGGTCGACGCTCAACCACCGAGCCACAGCGACCGGGCTACCACACGTTTTTTAAAAAAGAAAAACGGCAGCCAGCAAAACCCACTTCGAGGGGCAGCCCTGCCGGTTCCGCAGCCTGCGCGTCTCCCTGTGCAGCTGGGGCGAGCAGCCTGGTGCCGTGGGAGGTCCTCGGGGCTGCAGTCGGGCTCCCACGTAACAAGGGACCTGGTCGCCCTGTCCTCACCGCCGCAGCCTGTGAAATGGACCCCAGTTTATTCCATCCTCCCTCCTGGGGCTGGTGGTTCCAGATTTTTCTAACTCAGGGTACACTGGCGTGTCCCCGCACCCACGACAGCCTTCCTCCGAGCACAGGGCCTCCCCGAGGGCTCGTGCAGGGCACTGCCAACCCGCCAACATCCTCCATCGGCCCGTGTCTGCTTCCCGTTGCCTCTCTCCAGGCCATTGCCCAACGCCTACCGTTACAGCTGCTTTTTCTTTCTCTTTTTTTATGTTTTTATTGATTTTTTTTTAGGGGGAGGAGAGAGAGAGAGAAACATTGATGTGAGAAGCATCGATCGGCCGCCTCCTGCACACCCCCCCCGGGGATGGAGCCCGCAACCCGGGCCTGTGCCCTGACCAGGAATGGAACCGGAATCAGTCCACGGGACGTTGCCCAACCCACGGAGCCGTACCGGCCGGGCCGGTTCCAGCTTCTTATCTGTGCCAATCTGAAGCGTGACAACAGGCCTTCTTGTTTTGATTGGCATTTCTTCACTCGACTTTTCCCATGTGGTTTGGGCACTTCCGGTTTTGCTCTGTCAACTGTGTGCTTGGGTTCCCCCTGGTCCCTTTAGTCCTCACAGAGACCGCAGAGGCTCCGGCAGGTCTCCCAGCGCCTGTGCGGGGCCTGCAGCCTGGCCCAGCCCCGGCCCCGGCCAGAGCGATGGGCAGGTGCCCCTGAGCCTCAGCTTCCTCGTCCACAACACCGAGCAGTGAGAATGGCCTGCTCTCCCCACAGGAGTGAGGTTCAGTGAGGCACAGCTGGACACAGGACAAACCCTGTGTGAGCCCGCTCGGATGCGGTCCCTGAGGGGTCAGATTCACAGACAGCAGACGGTGGGGCCAGGCTGGGGGAGAGGCGGGGAGTCATGTCTAATGGACGTTGTCAGTTTGGGAGGATGGACAGTCCTGGAGTGGGTGTGGCAGCCTCCCCACAGCGAGTGTCCTGACGCTGCCGAGCTGTGCGCTTGGACGTGGCGGGGACGGTCAGTGTCGTGTATTTGATCACAATTAAAACCTGAGCCTGGCTTTGAGGCAGGGGACCCCGCTCTGTGAGAGCCAGCTCTCGGGAACCTCCCGGGTAGAGCAGGAATCTCTCCTTCCCACAGGACCGCGGACCTGGGGGCTGGGGGCCGTGGTCACAGGGATCTCCTGGGAGAAATGGGACCGGAACCCTTGGGTCCCTGGGTGGCGTATTCCCAGGGGCCTACAGGGAGCTGCTGAGCAGTGAGCTCACACCTTGGCTCTGTTCTCTTGAGGGCTGACCCTAAAGGGTACCTGTCCTGTCCCAGGTATGAGCCGAGTCCCCGCAGGGCAGGAGACCCAGGCCGCAGCCACCTGCAGACACAGTTCCTGTGGGCAGTCAGGGCGACACTGTGCCCCTCTGCACACACCCCGTCACGGTGGCCATCGAGTTCCGGAGTGACCCAAGGCAGCCTCCTGCGGGACAGGGCCTGGCGGGGCCATGGGCTCCCAAGTCAGGAGTCCCAAGCCCACCTGCGTCCTGACTCCAGTTTCTCTCCCTGGGACCTTCCGAGACCTGCGCCTTCCTCTGTGAAAAGGGGACCTGGCCTTGCTCTGCAGGCCTGTGAGGAGCGAGGGGGCGTGGCCTGGGTGTGCCTGGCCGGGGAGTGACCTCCCGTGGGTTCAGAAGTAACGAGATCCTCCTGCACAGGTCCAGGGGGTGCCCGTGCTCGCCCCCTCCCATGGCACGGGTCCAGGGGGTGCCCGTGCTCGCCCCCTCCCGTGGCACAGGTCCAGGGGGTGCCCGTGCTCGCCCCCTCCCGTGGCACAGGTCCAGGGGATGCCCGTGCTCGCCCCCTCCCGTGGCACGGGTCCAGGGGGTGCCCGTGCTCGCCCCCTCCCGTGGCACTGCCTTGAGGGAGCAGGCACTCCCCGACTGGGCCTCCTCCCCTGCAGTGTGTGGGTGCGGGGGCACAGGGACCTCTCCCGGGTGGGGTCCTTCCGTTGCTGACATGGCTCAGACCCAGACCCAGATGGTCCCTCGGGCTCTCCAAGCCCCTTCCAGCTGGGTCCTCACTTGGCTCAGCAAGCAGGGGTGTGGACTGTGGGCCGGGCAGCTGGGTAGGGCCCTGGAACGCAGACAGGGATGCAGGCGCCCTCCCCCTGCTGGGCATCTGCCCCCAGAGGCTGCAGGTGTTGGGAGCCAGGGCAGCCCTCAGGGTCCCCTGAGTGACAGGACCTGAAGGCTCTGGATGGGAGGACAGCGCAGTCCTGTAGCCAGCCCACGAGGGAGGGAGTGGGGTCTCCCGTCTCACCACCCAGTGGACTGTGGCTCACTGGCCCATCTCCCTTTAGCATCATCAGCTGGTTCGTCCGGTCCTTCAAGTACTTATACGGCCTTCGCTTTGAAGTCAAGGACCGCCACAAGCTGACAGTGGACCACCCCTGTGTCATTGTCTCCAACCACCAGAGCATCCTGGACATGATGGGTAGGCTCAGGGTCCGAGGGAGCGCCTGGTCCGGTGGGGCTGCTGCCTCAGAGGGGTGGAGGTGGCTGGGCTGAACCTGCGGTGCGGGGCTGACCCAGGCCAGGGGACCGTGCCCCCCTCCTTTCACCGCACGTGGCCAGGGGGACTACCCAAGGGGGCGGAGGGGGAGGGGGAGGGGGGTCGGGCCCAGGGCCGCTCCCTCCTTCTCGGGGAGGTGGCCCAGGCCCTGAAGCCTCCCGCACCTCCCGCCACGCTCCAGGCCTCATGGAGATCCTCCCGGAGCGCTGCGTGCAGATCGCCAAGCGGGAGCTGCTCTTCATGGGCCCCGTGGGCCTGATCATGTACCTCGGGGGTGTCTTCTTCATCAACCGCCAGCGCTCCAGCACCGCCATGACTGTGATGGCCGAAGTGGGCGAGCGCATGGTCCAGGAGAACGTGAGTGCGGCGTCCACGCTCCGCCTGGGGGGAGGGCCGGTGTCCCGGCGGCCCCTCCGCGCACCTCCTTTGGGCATGAAGCGCGCCGGGGCTCCTCTGGCAGCTGTACACAGAAAAGCAGGGGGCAGGGCCTCCCCCACTGAGGAGTGGACTCCTTGGAGGGAAGGGGCGCAGTGTCCCTGGGGCCGGCCTCCCCCCCACCCCTCCCACAGCTGCCTCCTTTCTCCCCTGCAGCTCAAGGTGTGGATCTACCCTGAGGGCACACGGAACAACACCGGGGACCTGCTGCCTTTCAAGAAAGGTGCCTTCTACCTGGCGGTCCAGGCCCAGGTGTGCAGGGCCTCGCCTTGGGGGGGGCTGGTCCGGGTTGGCTTCAGGCCGATGGTGCTTGCTGGCCAGGTTAGGCTGGGGCCTCTGGTACTCAGGGGCCACCTCCCCCCTGCAGGTGGCAGGACCTCCTGACCCCTCCAGCGCCTAAGCCCTGACCTGCTAAGGACGGTCCCCCAGGTCTCGTCACCCACTCTGTTAAGGCTGTGCCTGCTCAGGCTGTGACCAGCTGGAGTAACACCTGTGCCCGCTGTCCCTGCGGCTTGTGCCCGCTGTCCCTGCGGCTGGGGCTCCTAGCTGGCCGGGCGAGGGCCCCCGACAGCCTGGGCCTGTTGGCCGAGTTGGCCCGTAGGAAGGCTCGCTCGGGCCCCCAGCACCCCCGGCTGGAGCGGGGTTCGGCAGTGGGCAGTGGGCATGGACGAGAAGGGCCTGAGGCGGGGGACAGGCTCTGGCCAGAGCTGGAAATGGGCTCCGCTATGGGTGGGACCTTATACTTTCTGGTCCTTGACCTCCAGGGGTGCAGTGTCCAAGAGAGGCGGGGTTGTGGTAAAGGGTGCCCTGTCCCACCGCAGGCCCATGCTGGGGGGTTCATGTAGGGAAACCATAGTCAGGGCCAGGGTGGGTGTGGCAGCTTTTCTGCTGTCTCCCCTGTGGTGGGGAGTCTCGGGCACCCCCTAGTCCTGGTCCTGAGCAAGGCCGGGGAGCCTCCTGCCACAGGCTGCAGCTGGGGCCCTGGCAGGTAGGTGGCTGAGCCCCAGGCCGGGGCCCAGGGGCCGGACTCTGATCCCAGCCCTGTCCAAGCTCCTGCCCTGTGGGCCTGCGGCCCCTTTCTGCTGGTGGTGTGGGGAGGGCTGGCGAGAGGGGAGGTGACGGTGACGCGCCAGGAGCAGCAGCAGCTCAGCTAGGACACTGGACACCATTTCCTGTCACCTCCCCGCCCTCGCTCCGTCTCCCCTCCAGGGTAGCCTCCCTGGGTCTCAGCCTGCACCCCGCTGGTGCCACCCAGAGGCTCCCTCACTGGCAGGGTTAATGATTAGCCCCAGGCACCGGTTCTGACGTTGCACTCACTGCTGGACTTAACCCTGGTGTTTTTCCGGGAACACCAGCAGGCCCTGCCCCTCCCCCGCCTGGTGCTGCCCCCAGCCTTCCAGGGATGGAGGGGGGAAGTTGGGAAGGGCGTGTGGGTGGGAAGGCCTCAGGAACCTTCTCCAGTGCACTGGACAGGGCCTCGCCCCCTAGGTAACCTTAGGACCCAATGGGGGTCACAGATGTGAAGGTCATGTGTCAACCTAGGAGGGCTTCCTGGAGGAGGTAATGCTTGAGTGAAGGTGTATAGGATGAGTTTATGGTGCCCTGGGCCATCCAACCCATAAAGGGTGTCCCAGGCCCGGGGGCTCAGCCTGTGGAAGGGCTGAGGCAGAACCAGGTGCCAGTCTGACAGCCACGGGTGCTGGGCTCCCCGGTCTGGGGGTGAATCTGGTCGTCTCCTGTGCACAGGTGCCCATCATCCCCGTGGTGTACTCCAGCTTCACGTCCTTCTACGACCCCAGGACAAAGCTCTTCACCTCAGGTAGCACCCTGCGCCGTCCCTGCGGTGCCCGGGCCCCTCGGGTATGGTTCCCACTGCCAGTGGTCACTGTGGGCCGGGCCCCTGCCACGCAGGGGAGGAGGGATGGGAGGAGAGGATGAATCTAGAGTCTAGGCCGGCGGCTGGGGAAAATGGTAGTGGGCCCCTTCCTAGTGAGCACACAGGCTCCCAGCGGGGACGGGGTCCCTGAGCTCACACAGGCCCCGGCTGTGCACGCAGCTCGGGCTCGGGGCCAGTGCGTCCAGGCCCCACTCCGAGGGGCAGCAGCCTCCCAGGCACCCCCACACCCACGGGCCACGGAGCTCGGCCTCTGCCCTTCCCTCCAGACCCCGCACCTGGCACCCAGGTGGGAAGGTGGGGTCCAAGGAAGTGGGGAGGAGCCAAGCTCACCACTCATAGTTGGGACCCCAAGGACGGCCGTGGAATGGGGGTGGGGCTGCCTGGGGGGCACACGAGAGTTTTCAGGGGGGGGACGTGTTCCGTGCCTGGGTGGCGCTTGGAGGGGAAGGCGCACTTGTCCGAACCGAGTGTGTACTTAGGAGCCAGTGTGACTGTCAGTAACTGACTGCTAAAAACCAAGCACTTGAGACCAGAGGGCTCTGCAGGGAAGGCCGGTCAGTGGCCGGTCAGTGGCCAAGGGGGAGGGGAGAGGGTTCAGCTGGTGCCGGGTGAGGAGAGGCTGTAAGCGTGGGAGCCAGGGCAGCAGGCACGGTGGGGCCCCGGCCCTCCGGGCCCCTGACTCCTACCCCGCCCACCCCAACAGGAACCATCAAGGTGGAGGTGCTGGACGACATCCCCACCAGTGGGCTCACCGTCGACGACATCCCCCAGCTCATGGACACCTGCCACCAAGCCATGAGAACGACCTTCCTGCGCATATCTAAGGCACCCCAGGAGAACGGGGCCACCGCGGGGACTGGGGCCCAGCCAGCCCAGTAGCCACGGCTGCCATCAGGAGGACCTGGAGGCGCGAGGGCAGGAGCTGGCTCGAGAGTGGACAGAGGGACGCGCCCAGTCCCCACGCGGGTCCCCTCCTGCAGCGTGGCGGCTGTCGCCTGGGCCCCAGAAGCAGGGGGCCCCTTCCTGTCAACTGGTTTCAGATCCAGGTTGCTGATGTCCCTGCTGCAGAGTCAGCTGGACACCCCACACTCTGAGGGCGGGACCCCGTCCGCCCTGTGCCTCCAGGACTGGGTGTGGGAGCAGGCAGGGCCCGACCCAAGGCCTGCATCAGGCTGGGGAGGCGGGCTCAGGGCCAGGCCATGGGAGCAGAGTAGGTACTGCCTGTGGCTGTTTTTTATAAAGGACTCTTGGAAGTGCCTGGTGAGCTGTGGTCACTCAGGGCGGGTGGCCTGGGCACGCACGGGGTCTGCTGCGCTGCCTGTGCGTCCTCTCGGGGGCCCAGCGTCGGAGCCCCCAGGGCCCCCCAGCCTCTGTGTTCCTGTCCAGGGGCTGAGCCATGTTGTAATACGTCTTGCAAACAGGGAGGGTTGAAGGGGAGCTGGTGTGTCCGGAGGCCTGGCAGGCGCTGGGGAAGGAGGCTGAAGATTTGCTCTTTAGCCACTGGCTAGGGCTGGGGCCACCATGTCACCAGGATGAAGCTCTCTGGCCAGTGTCACTTTCTCAGAAGCTACCTGCTATAGCCCCTTTTGGAGGGGGGACCAAGACTACCTAGCTGGGGCCCCTCCCTGCCCTGTGGCTACACCTTCTTGTCCCACCAGCCCCTCAGCTCCTGAATGCCCCCACATGGACGCGGCAGCTCTTCAAGTCTCATTTTATTCTGACAAAGATCGGGATGGAGCTCCCCCAGCTAACAGGCTGCCCAGCCAGTGGCCCCAGGCCCCAGGCTCTGGGCAGGGAGCTGTCGTACCTCCCCTGGGCACAGGCCAGCCGGTGCAGGGGCTGCATTCACGCAGGACCCCTAAGCCCACCCTGCCCTGTTTCTTCGGCCTCGGCCTGCGGCCCCTCCCACCCTGCCCAGTGGGGTGGGGTGCAGCTCGGCGGGTGGGCACAGGCTTGTCACAACTCCTTCTTGCAGGAACCTGTGGGTAGAGAGGGTCAGAGGTCACTGCTCCCCCACCTGCCAGTCCAGCCAGATGTGCTCCCTCAGGTGCGGTGCCCGGTCCCACCCCAGGCCTCTGGTACAGACTGGCCCAGCTCAGGGAGCTCAGGCTACGGGGCACTGTGGGGGGGGAAGGGGCGTGGGCCCCCGGCACTCACAGGATCCCAGCTGCTCCTCCAGGAAGGATATCTGCTCGCTCAGAGAGTCGATGCGCTCCAGCTGCTGGAAGGAGTGGGCCAGGAGGCTGCCCGGGTCGGGGAGCCCGTGCTCCAGGGCCCTGGAGGTCAGGCTGTGCAGGGGGGCCAGCACCAGCTGCAGCTTCTGTGGGGCAGGCAGAGGCTGCTGGGTTAGGGCCTGGTGACCCCGGGCCAGCCCCTCACGCTCTCTGTCCCACAAGGCTTTAAGGAAACTGGCTGTGGCCCGCAAGGGCTCTGTCACCCCCCACCTCCCCACCCCACCTTGACCCAGCTCTGGCTGCAGGGCCTTGAACGTCCACCAGAGGGAGCTACAGCCCAGGAGAGCCAGAGGCCTGTAGGCACAGACACTGGCCAGCCAAGCCCTTGCTCCCCAAGGACAGGAGCTGCTCTGGGGTCAGGTTCTCCGCGTGGCCCAAGGGGACAGGGCTGAGCTCGGCCCCTCCTGTCTTGGGGTCCCAGTCATCTCCTACTGTCTCTGCCCTGCACGGAACCCAGGCCAGGGGCCCCCTGGGCTGTCAGTATTGAAGAAGCCTCCCCTGGGACCCCGCTGAACACCAGGGCCCACAGGAGACAACGGGGGCTGGCCGAGGGCCCTGGGTCCCCAGCCCAGACCTCACCTGCTCCAGCACGTCCACCCTTGACCGAAGCTTCTGGACTTCCTCCTTCACCTCCCTGTCCACTCCTGGGGAGACCGGGTGCTGAGCTGGGGAGGCCTGGCCAGCACCCCCCTCTGCCCCGGTGCGATGAGCCCCTCCCCTCATCCTGGGCTCCCACCGCCCACCAGGCCGGCCTGGAGCTCGGGAGGTGGTCCTGCCAGCTCAGCACACCCTGGGCAGTGGCCCCCCACCGGCCCCTCAGTACAGGGTCCCCGTCTGCTGGGAGGGGTCGCCGCGTGCGGGGTCCCGGCTGTGCTGAGGTCCCCGCCGAGGTCCGCGCCGTGCTCCTGGCGCCGGGCTGCCGACGGCGCATTATTACTCACGGTACGAGTTTGAAGTGTCACAGCGCGTACCAAAAGTAATAATGTCCCGTCGCCAGCGAAGGTGCGGTGTCTCCAGGCTGCCGGGCGGGGACACAGGACCCCAGTGTGCGGCCTTCCTCCACTCTCTGGCTGAGATGAGGCCCCCAGCACCCCTCCCACGGAGCCCGGGAGAAACCGCTGCCCACCCTCCTGAGGGAGAGCCCGCCTCTGCCCGCAGGCCCCTGCCCTCTGGGCCCTCCCGCCTGGCCCCAGGGCAGCAGCAAAGCGGACCAGCTGGGGAGTTTACCTCTGCCGGGGTCCGGGGCCGCCCTGGGGCTCCCTGTCCTGGGCAGGCAGAGTGCCCTGTCCGAAGACGGGCTGTACCCCTCACGACACTGACACCAGTAACTGCCTGGAGTGTTGACACAGCTCTGGGGACAGCCGCCCCCTCCAGCACTGCACTCGTCCACGTCTGCGGGAGACGGGGTGTCAGGCAGGGACAGTGAACCCCAGGAAGGACCTGTCAGAGCGCCCCGGAGGACCCCCAGGGAGGGGCCCGCCTCACCTGTCTGGCAGCTGCTTCCCTGCCATCCCGCAGGGCAGCGGCAGCGTCCTGGCTGGACACAGCTCCCTCCGTGTTGGCACGGCGGCCGGCATATCGCTGTGGGTGGGGGAGGGCTGTCATCAACTCAGGAGGGTCCCCAGGGCCCTGCAGGGGGGCAGGTGCCTTGCCGGGGTCCGGAAGCGGGATGGGCTGCTCTCTCGGTGCCAGGGGCCTCACCTGCTCCACAGGCCCCGGGGAGCCCACGGGTCCTCTTCCAGCCGGGGCAGCAGGCGTAGCGAGGCCTGGCGGGCGCTGGCCCCGGGCTCCGGCGGTAGGCGGTCTTGTAGACAGTCCTGGGGGGGGGCGTGGGGGCAGCTCAGAGGGGCTTTTCCCAGACGTGCCGAGTGAGGCGCCCCTCCCAGCCACTTGCCTTCCTGGTCCTGAGCCTCCGGAAGCCCCACAAACAGTCTCCCCCAGAGTGGACAAGATCACCCAGGTGTGCCCCAGACGTCCTCGTCCCCAGGGACAGCAGCTCAGGGTCACTGCACAACCCACCTCCCTGCCCCGCACTTCGGTGTCAAGTGGGCGATGCCAGTCGGGGGTCCACCGGCTGGGCCTCCTATTGTTTGGGCGGGAACCTAGGCCCCCAGGGGAGGGGGCTCGCCAGGTCACTGGCAGAACCGGGGGGCCTCCTCAGTCTGCTGAGGGCGCTGTCCTAACCCAGTGCCTCCCCGACAGGTGACAGGCGAGGCTCACGAATGGGGTTGTAGTCACAGAGCATGGGCACCCGGCTCAGGGAACCGCGGCGAACATTCTGGCTGCGGTCCGAGCCTGCGCCCCGTGCACAGGGAACGGGGCTCCACCGCACGCTGGGCGTGTCTCAGGCTCCCCAGGTCTTGGAGAATCTTACAGAAATAAAACGTTCCCCGTGCCTGAGAACCGAGATGCATGCCCCTCGCACAGACACAGGCTGACGGGACATGCTGGTGGGGACGGAGACACGACCTCCATCTGTCAAGGGGCGAGGGGTGCCCACTGGAGCCCCGAGGGCATCACCCCAGGTGGATAGAACTTAAAGCCAGTGCTGCCAGGGTGGGGGATCAACCCTCCACAATGGAGGAAGGCAGGACGGGGGACCCCTCTCAAAACGAGGGTGGGGGGCAGCAGAGCAAGGACTGATGTCGAGGTCACCACAGTGCCATCGTGACCATGTGCAAATAGCCACCAGTCTGCCACCGGCGCGGAGTGGCCTCGGCTTCCCAGGAGGCACTGCCGGGCCCAGGGTGGCGGGCGGCCTCACCGGTATGTGCTGCAGACGCGGTGCCCGTCGCAGGTGGTGAGGAAGGGCTGGTACACGCGCTGCACAAAGGACTCCGACATGGGGCCCTGGGGAACCCCGACGGCACACACCCTGCGGCTAGAGGCGGGGGCCAGGGGTCAGCCAGGGCTCCCAGAGCCGGACCCTCCCAGCCCCGCACCCAAGAACCCGGGGAAAGGCTTCTCAACACCAGTGGGGGGAGGACCTTCAGCAGGAGCCACAGCCCCCGGGAGGAGGGGGTGCCCAGGGAGGGTGCGGGCTCACCCAGGCCTGTAGATGAGCTCGGTGCCGCCTGCCGCCAGCACCAGGACCCACACCAGCAGCTCCCTGTAGCCCCACATGGCCCGCGTCTCCGGGCGGGACGGCCTTCTCCGCAGGCTGGCCTGGAGCACAAGGGAGGGCCCTGTCGTTCCCGCTCAAGTTCCCACCAAGCCCATGTTCCCTGCGGGGACTGTCCCCTCACCAGCCACACACAGCCCACCCAGACCCCACCAACCTCGGCCTGGGAACAGAAGCCGGCGCCCTTGCTTAGGGCAAGAGGCACCCTGCCCCTGCTGTCCTGCGCTGGACGGACAGGGAGGTACGTGAAGCTCCAGGACAGGTCACTGAGGCCGGTGGGGCCCCGGGCGCATCGGCACCAGCTGTCCCTCCCGGCAGGGGCTCAGTGTCTCCTTGTCACGGCAGGGCAAGGGCATGCTTGCACCCCGACCTCAATCTGCAAACGCGTTAGTGGGCAGAGCTGGGTCCCAGCTGGCTTGGCCGTTCTGGCCGCCAGCCACGGGAAGCGTGGGAGCCCACCAAGGGTGTGGACATTCGGCACACAGGAGTCCTTCTGGCTCTCGGACGGGGTGGGGACCTGCATTTAGGAGGGGGAACTCCCACGCTGGGGACTGAACCAGTCTGGGGCAGCGTGCCCACAGCCTCCAGGGCTCCCAGACAGCAGCCCACTGGGCACCCACCTGGCAGGGGGCTGAAGCACACACACCCCCCCCCAGTGGAGCTAATGGCCATTCCTCTCCGGTGGGGGCGGGAGCCAGGGAGGCCTGGAGAAGACTCCTGGGAATGTGAGAAACCCAGCCCGGAATTAATGCTCTGCAACTTGCCCGGGGACTGGAGAGGGCAGTCTGCAGTCTGGGGGAGCAGGGAGACGCTGTCCCTCTGCAGCCAGGGCTCTGGGGAGCGGGGAGCTCCCTGCTCCCATGTTCCTGCTGCCCCACCTGAGGCCCGGAGTCCTCCACTGCCCCATGAACTGTCCTGAGCCCTGCACGGCCCCCCACAGGACAGGGCACAGAAAGGGGCTGAAGTGTGTGGGCGCTGGTGGGGGAAGAGTTAGAGTGAGGCAGTCCCCTTCTCTGGGACTCAGTTTCCTCAAAGACACCCCGGGGGTCTCAGAGGCCCCTCCTTTGGCTCTGCCCATCAGTCCATGAACTGTGGCCACGTGAGCAGTTACTGAGTCCTCCATGCCCCCGAGCCGGACTGTGAGGGGAGTGAGGCCGTGTGGGCCATGTGGTCACTCAGCGGGGGGCTCACTCCACCCTCCTGCCCACCTGCGCTGGGCATCCACGCTGGTCTGCCCCACCCCCACCCCGGGGACAGCCAAGGTGTCAGGACTTAGTTTGGGGGCAGTAGGACTTCTCAGAGTTTCTGGACGGGCCGGCAGAGCGGTGGGGAGGTGAACTGAGGGTGGACCGTGCGGTAGCACGCTGCTAGGGCCAGGCCTGCTGGTCCAGGCCTGGTTGAAATGGTGGGGACAGGTGGCACTGCGTAGTAGGCCCTGGGAAGGCAGCGGTGGGCAAGGCAAGCCCAGTGGCTGGGGTGGGCAGGGCCATGCCAGGGTTCAAGACCCCTGCGCTCATCCCGGAGGTCAGACCTCTGCAGACACCGCTCCGGCACCTACCCTACTTATCCGAGTCGCTTCACGGGGAACCGTGCTTTAGAAGAGACAATTTTTGAAAGTCATGCCTTCCCCTAGGCCGGAGGAAGCTGATGGCACTGCCCGGCCTGTGCTGGGCTGGCAGAATCTCATTTCCCTTTAGGGCTGCAGCCCTGCTGGGGCCGGAGGGCCAGGGCAGGGGCGGCCCTAAGCCTCCAGGTCTGCAAGCAGTAGTGCCCGTGCCCTCCGAGGGTCAGTGTGAGCCCTGCCCAACACCCTCCCTCCGACCTGCCTGGCCTGCATCCTGAAGCCCTCACCCCAGCCCCTACCCGGAGACGCTGGGTCTGCAGAGAGGGGGCCTGCTGGGTCGCCCCTTTCACTGGAGGGGTGCTCCGCACGTTCGGACCCACAGAGAGGCGGAGTGAGGCGACGGACTGACCACTGGGGATGCGCCCACTCCACCGCCCGTCCCACGCCTCCCTTCTCCCTGTAGGGCCGGCTTCGTGTGGGGTGGGAGTCAGAGTGCGGGGGCACCCCCGCCCCGCAGAAGGCTCAGCCGGCCTGGGCTGCGAGGTTCGGGGCCTGCGAGGCCCTGAGTCAGGCCCTGGAGGGCTCGCAGGGCCCAGATGGGGAACGAGGGGCCGCGGCGCCCCCTACCCAGGCCCCGCGGTCCGGCCGGGCGCCCGTCACCAGCAGAGGGCGCGCGCTGCCAAGGCCGCTGGGCCCATTCTGCAGACCCAGCCGCAGCCCCGGGACGGCTGGAGGTCGGCTCTCCGCGGGTGGCGCCCGGCGCCCCCGGCCCGCGCACCTCGCCCCCGCCCGCATCTGCGTCGCCCCCAGCGTCGCGCGCCACGAAGTCCCCGACCTCCCCCGCCGGCGGAGTGGCGGACGGCCCCTCCCTCGCGCCCCCGCGCCCCCGGCCCTGCGCCCCGCTCCCTGCACTCACCGCCCGATCCGGGCGCGCACGCGCCGCCGCCGCCACCGCGCCAGGGGCCCCGGCCCCGCCCCGCCCCGGCCCCGCCCCACCTGGCCCGCTTGGGCCCGCCCCGGGGTGGGCTACAGCCCCGCGCCCTCCCGCCCCATTGCGCAGATGGGGAAACTGAGGCCCTGCCGCGGTAGTGCCCCCCGGCCGGGCAGCGAGGCAGCTAGAGCCCGGGGCTCCGGACGCACAGCGGCCTCCGAGCGCCCCCGCCCCGCCCGAGGAGCCCGGGCCGCCGGGCGCACGGCTGCAGGGCACCCAGGACCGGACGCAGGCCAGGTACCTGGAGGCCGCGTGGGGAGCCACACCGACCAGGCTTGACTCGCTCTCAACGGCACCCCACCCCCGCCCCCACCCCACCCCCAGGCTGAGCACGAACCGCAGGGATCCCCACACAACGGTGGCCGGGTCACTAAGCTCAAGCTGACTGCACTCTGCGGCCACGCGTTGGGTGGACATCATGACCCCGGAATCCTGGAGACCCCTTATTCCCCCGAGGTCACGGCTGGGCCCGGTGTGACACCAGCCTCCAGCCCATGCAGAGTCAGGGTAACACCCGCTTTGTTCAGGACAGTCAGGACCACCTCTGAGTGCTCCTCCACCCCCAGGGAGTCCCCCCTAAACCCACGGTCACCGCTGGGGACTCCTGGGCCCATCTTTTCTCCTCTGCTCCATTTCCGCATTTGTAATGTGGGTTAGAGCAGCTCCACGTGGCAGAGTGCCCACCTGGAGGCAGGGGCCGCAGAGCGGGAGCAGGTGCGCCTACCTGGGAGCTGGTACCATTTGGTCATTCTGGTACCTGGCTGTTATCCACCCTCAGACTCAAGCCTGCGGCGATGTGTGTGCACACAGGTGAGATTCCAGGCTCAGCCCGTCCCCTGCTGCTGCCCAGAGCCCCTGGGATCGCTGTGGGACTCACCTGGGGAAGGGGGCTCCGTCATGCCCCAGATGCGGGTGGCAGCTGCTCTTCTGGGTTATGGGGGCCACCTGTGCCTCCCCTGTGCAGGGGTCTGCAGGTCAGAGACAGTGTAGGTTAGTGCACAGCCTTGGTCACCCTGATGTCCAGGGGGGTGCAAGGGGGGCCGGGGCCAGCCCGGATGCCACGGTGGGACCTCAGCCTGTGCTCGGCCTACAAACCCCCACCCTATGAGGGCCCAAGCTGGGGCCTCCTGGATCTGCCTGCGGCTCACACCCTCAGCCTGGAGGCGGACCAGGTTTCTGTCTGTCAGGTGGGCGGTGGCCTCTGCCCTGGGTTCTCGGGAAGGACCGTTGTGCCGGCAGCCCGAAGTGTCTCTGCAGAGCCCGGTGCTGGGTGAGGGTCCTGCGGGCTCACAGGGAGGGGAGGGTCTTCTCGTAGGGCCAGCAGCTGTGGGGCGTCCAGCTCGAGTCTCCCCTGGTGCATGGGAGCTCACAGGAGGGAGGGCACCCAGGTAGCTGGAAGGGAGTCCCCAGAAAGAAGCCTCTCCTTCCTGCCGTCGGCGGCCACTGCCCTGGACCAGGAGACCCTGGAAGCCCCTGGCAGCTGGTCCGAGGGCAGCAGACAGCTGCTGCTGGGTGTCTGTACTGTGCGGGCCCTAAGCTGGGCCTTAGGTCTCCTGGCCCTGGACCCGAGCAGGGCAGCCCTGGCCCAGCCCCAGGCAGTGAAGAGTTAAGAGCTAGACCTAGGGGACTCCCGGGCTCTGGCCCCTGCCCCCATCCTGTCCCTGAAGCTACGGGTCACTTGACCCTTTGACCTCCTGCCTGGGGAGCTGGGTCAGCTTGTCCTCACTCTGCCTCACCTCCTGCTTCCTCATCTGGAACGGGGCGGTCCTCGGACAGACTGCTGCGGGGGACCCCGACTACTACCGGCAGAGGCCCCCACTCCAGCTGGGGGTTTGGGGTGGGGGTTTGGGGTGGGGACTTGGGCCGCTCTGGGAGGGGCAGAGAGAGGGAAGCAGGGCCTCCCCCAGGGCCAGCGGGGCCCACACCACACGGCACCAGGCTGTCCCTCTGCCTGAGGACCCCGAGGCCAGGCCAACGGGGGGTGGGGGGGACTCCTGGCCCCGGGCTCAGTGTACCGATGTGCACACCTCATCCTGGCTGCAGGTCTGGTTTGGGGTTCCTATTCCTCCCGGGAGCACTTGCCCACCCTCGGGGATGCCCCAGGGATGCCCCAGGGATGCCCGGGCCTGAGGGTGGGTGAGCTACGTGGAGTGTGGTGGAAGGAGGGGACCAGGGAGGGGACCCCGCTGTGCTGCCTCCTGCAGAGGTCACAGCGCTGCCAGGCCACCCAGGGGTCAGAGTTGGGGTCGGGCAGGCCAAACCCGAGTCCAGACTGGGCCGCCCACCAGGGAGCACCCTTAGCCTAGGGGCCCGAGCGTCCTCTGGGCAGTGGGGACGGCACCGGGAAAGAGGACACGGAGACGGCCGACAGGTGCAGTGGTCGGCGGGAGCTCACCCCGCGCCGCCTGCTCCCTGCTCTTCCAGCGCCAGTCCCGCGACCATACCTGATGCGGCCCACACCCCGGCTGGACCATGGCCACCGCCGCCGCCGCGTCGGGCCCAGGGTGGACCCTGCCTCTCGCCAGCCGCCCCTCGCCACCTCCCGCGGCCCGTCTGCTGGAGCCTCCGCCTCGGCGGCCGTGCACGCTGGACAGCGGCTCGGGGCAGGAGGCTCCCCCCGGGCGGGGAAGGGCGGCTTTTTATGCTCCCTCCCGTGTAAATCGGGACTGGGATGGGCCCTTCCCGGCCGGACTTCCTGTGTGTGTTCTCCGCTGATAACGGGATCAGTCAGCAAACAGGAGGCCCAGGGCCCCGTGGGGGGCCGCCGAGGGAGGGGCCTGGCCGAACTGTGGGAGGGGTGCTCCCCCTTCCTCCCCCCCGGTTCAGAGTCTCACCCTGAAGCAGCCACAGCCAGGCTGCTGACCCAGGACCCGCTGGTCCCACATGTGATGGACATGCAGGGCCAGGGCCTGCCCAGTGCCGTGGGTCCGCCAGGCTTGTGGGACCACGGGCCACAGAATGGGACTCCCCAAAGGGACCATTGGTGCTGTGACCCTGGACTCTCCCCCAGGGCGCGTGGCAGCACCCCGATGTGTACCACGGGTGGGAGCCCAGAGAGGAGGCCTGGGGGGGCAAGGAGTCTGGGTGGTCTGAGAACAGCCTGTCCGTGGGTCCCTGGAGCCCAGAGTGGCCGAGGGCAGGGGACGTAACGGGAGACGCAGACATTGGCTCAGGGCTGTCTCCCTGGGAAGGGCTGCCCATGGGCAGTCAGCCCCTGGCTCTGGCGGTGTCCCAGCTCCCTTCAGAGGGACACCCTCCTGGGCACAGCGTGCTCCCGGCTCTCCTCCGTCCTCGGCCTCCAGAGGCTGAGGTCTGCAGGGGTGGGGGTACAGGCGGAAGGATGCGGGAACTTTAGGTGGCCGAAGGGGGTGCTTCCTCACATTGGTGGGGGTCCAGCCCCGGTCTGGCCCTCAGGTTCTTCCTTCATTTAGGAGACTGGGGAGCCTTGCAGGCCAAGCATCAGTGGCTGTCACGGTGGGTGACAGGTGACAAGGGGAGCTGCTGAGGACCTGCCCCGACGGCACAGTCGGCCAGGGCCCCCGAGAGGGCGGGGCCAAGCATGGCTGTCCTCGGGCACAAGCCCTGCCCTGAGCCCGGTCTTGAACCCCTCCGCGCACCCTCGCCTCCCTCCGGCCCCCCTTGGCGGGTGTCCTGGCCAAGAGGGAGGGGAGCAGTCTGGGAAAGTCCCCGCTGGGATGCTGAGCGCAGGACTTGCTGCCCTCCCCACCCCCAGGCCAGGAAGGGGCGGCAGGCCCGCAGCCAGGACCAGGGGCTTCACCTCTCCAGGTCTCAGTTTCCCCACCTGTCCTCAGGGACAAGAGAGGTGGTAGCCACCAGGGCTGTTGTGACAGCTCAGGTCCTGGGACTCAGGTGTTGTCGGTGGAAGCGGCGAGGGGGCCTGAGGTCCCCCCCACGAGGCTGGCGCTGGCAGGCAGAGCCTCCCACCTGCCATCTCACCCCGCCAGCCCACAGTGGCCACACTCTGGACACCCCTTTGCCTCACTTGGCCCCCCTTGCTCTCCCACCCAAGGGCCGGGGTGTCCTGCCAAGTGTACTTGACAGAGGATAGGGCCGAGTTGGGCTTTGTCCCAGCTCCCAGGAGGTGCCCACACCACCCCGGGGGGAAGAACTGGCAGACTTCAGGCCTGGCTGTATCCACCTTTTCTGTGTACAAACAGGGAAACTGAGGCCCGGAGAGGGAAGAGCCCAGCAGGGAAGCGGAGCTGGGTGATGGATCAGGACAGGGGGTCCCCCTTTCCTGGCCACCTCCTGTCCGCTGCAGGTTGTCAGGCACCTGTGCCGGGGGCGGCCTGAGGCTGGGAGCAGGTTAAAGGGGCGCCCTTTTCTCTAAAGCAGGGCACGTGGGGAACTTTCTGGAAGGATGCCCCACTTGCAGAGGTGACTCCCGGCGTGGAGAGGAGAGGAAGCAGAGTCCTGCGTCCTCCAGAGGTCAGTCAGTGCTGGCCCCTGGGCGCACATGCGGTGGGGCTGTGTCCCTGCCTGCTGCCCACTTGTTTTGGGGTCCCCCACTGCTCCGTGATCCCCTCCTGACACGCTCTGCCCTCACCCCATCTCCTTCCTGGACCAAGACCAGAACCAGTTCGAGGGAAGGAGGCCTTGGCTCGAAGCCCGCCCAGCACAGCTCTGCACTGTCCAGTTGCCTAAAACCCACCCTGTGTCCACCCTCAGGTCCCCGGAGCCTCCGGGCACATGCAGGAGGTGGGCTGGGGTCCTGCCAGGGCGCGGCAGGGAGGGGAAGGGGCTGCCCAGGACAGGGGGAGGGGCGCAGGCAGAGGGCAGAGATGGGTGCCGTCTGACACCCTCAGGCTGCAGGAGCGTCCTGGGGCCTGGGACGGGGGCTGGAAGGTGACCTCACTGTGTGCTACGGCTGCAGGGGGCTCAACCCGGGCAGGCCTGGCCCTCCACCTCTGGTGGCGTCTGTTTAGGATCATCGAGCACACCCCCGCCCCCCGCCCCCAGCCTCTGTCCCCAGAGGGCCCAGCATGGCCCACCTCGCAGGCCCAGCACAGAGGAGGCCACTGGGTGGGATTGGTCCGTGACCTCTCGGAGGTCCAGGCCGTGCACACCGGGGTGGCTCAGAGACCTGGCCTGGGGCCCGTCAGCTCCAGGTGTGGCATCCATGGTGGGGGCCTTGGTGCCCTGGTGCTAGCTTTGCTTCCGTCGCTGGAGGCTCTGCCCACACTGGGCCTCAGTTTCCCCACCTGCCCCATCATCTGTCAGGCGATTACTGCTAAGGAACTTGGATCGGAAAGGGGTCATGCGGCCTTACCTTCCCAGAGTGTGCTGGTCAGGTGGTGGGGCTGGCAGAGGTCCTCCTGGGACCCTCCCGGGCCCCCCTCACCGCCGAGCTTTTGACCTCTGCAGCCCCAGAAGAGGGCAAACCCAGCCCCCAGCAGAGGCCAGTGTGGGCGCCTCAGGCCGCGCGAGGCAGAGGGGCACGGGCCCGTGTGAGCCGGGCTGCAGGAAGGGAAGCGAAGCACAGGACAGGGAGAGATGAGCTTCCTGTTTATCTCCAGCGCGGCTGGGCCCAGGGACAGGATGGCGCAGCCGGCCCGGCTGGGCCCAGCTTCACACCAGCTGTGGCTGGACTTTCACCAGGGGATGAAGGGAGGGAGCTGGCTGGGCTCCAGCACCCCTGGGCGGGGAGCTGTCTGCACCTGAGTGGGGCCAGGTCCCAAAGGGAGCGGAGTGTGGTAGGAGCCTGGGCCTGTCTGGCTGCCTGGGGTCCTCCCTGTCCTCTGCCCTCCCCGCCGTCATGCCTGCCTCCACACCTGTCGCCTGTGCTGGGACGCCCGGCACGGCGCCCACGGAACACCCCTGACTTGAGAGTTGCCCCTGTGACCGAGGCTCACGGGGGAGATGCGTGTCCAGGGTGGGTCAGTGGGAAACAGAAGTTCCGTGCGTGGAGCTCAGGGGTGCCTGGACAGCAGGACACTCTTGGGGAACCCCTGGCTCCTTTTCCTCACTGCCCCCCAAGCCTCCCTTCCCGGGAACCACCCCTGGAGACCCAGGACACATCCCGTCTCAGTGCTTGGTTCCCGGAACGTGTCCCTCCTGCCACTGCCCCGTCCTGACACAGGCTGCTACCACCCCGCCTGGGTGACCTCCTCCTCGGCTCGGTGGGCACCCCGCCCCCCCGCAGTTGTCAGGGAGCTTTGTGCAGGGTGACATCAGGTCTTCTTGTGACATCCCTACCTTAGCTTCCCCAAGGCTTCCCCCAGCACCCGGACCAAGTCCGCTCCCTCGCACGGGACCCAAGCACCAGCTCCACGGGGTGGACAGGGCCTCGCCTCGCCCCCTGCACCGGGACAGAGCCAACCTCACAGGTGGCTGAGGGCACCAGACGGGCATCCCCACCGAGGTGGCTTGCAGACAGGCATTGCAGAGGAGACTTTGCAGAGATGCACAGGGCCCGTGAATGTTCACGTGGCGAGCACGCCCATGTACCGGCTCCCCGGCCAAGGGACAGGGCCCTGCTGTCACCCCCAGACACCGCTCCCCTGACTCTTGCAGTGTAACTGTGCCTGGGTCAAGGTTTCAGCCCACAGGGGCTCTCGGTGCCCACGCTGGGTCCGGCCTCATCTGCCCACAGCACGTCTGTGAGACCTCCCTGTGCTGTTGTGACCTGGCCGTTGCCCGTCCCCGGAGAAGAAACCGGAGCTCGCGCGCCAACTCCTGGCAGCTGAGGGTCTGACCCGTGGCTCCCCTCTGAACCTCTTCGCGCCCTCTTAGCAGAAGCACGTGTGAGGACGTCCCTCTTGGCTACCTGTCCCTGGGACTGTCCCGGCGAACACTGGTCCCAGGATAGCATGAAGCCAGCACCGCCTGGTGGGTCACCCCGCCAGCAGCGTGGGAGCGTCCGGCCGCCCCGCCCCCTCGCCAGCACTTGCTATTGTCCGTGTGGGCATTTTAGCCATTCGGGCGATTTTGCTGTGCCGTGGCTGTATTATCTTTTTATTTATTTTTAATCCTCACCCGAGGATATTTTTCCATTTATCTTTAGAGTGGGAGGAAGAAAGAGAGTGAGAGACATCGATGTGAGAGGGACACATCAACTGGTTGCCTCCGACACAACCCCGACCAGGGCCAGGGATGAACTGCGCCCGAGGTACGTGCCCTTGACCGGAATCGAACCCGAGACTCATTGATCCAAGGGCTGACGCTCTAACCGCTGAGCCCAACCGGCCAGGGCTTATCTCCATTTTTTGAACCATAGAGTTCTTCCTTGGGGAAGACGCAGGAGGCCCCTGGGTGGGGTCAGAGTGGGCAGGGCCCTCAGGAGCAGGGCACTGGGGGGTGGGGACCCCGGTTTGGCTTCGCTGAGCAGTCTGAGCCCCTAGGACATGAGCCAGGTCGGCGGTGCAGAGAGAAGGGGCTGCCTGGGTGAGCTGGGGACGCTGGTGGGATTTCTGCTCTGGGTGAGCAGTGTGTCCTGGTTCCCAGGAGGCCCCCTGAAATGTTTGTCTCC